TAAAAACTCAAGAAATTGATGTTCTTCTGTGTAACGATCCCCAAATTAAGTTAATTAAAACCATAATGGAATAACCATATGTAAAACTTGTTATGAAACAAAAGGAATCTAGTCCATCCTAATTGAATTTAATCAAATTAAAAGTGAAAAGCATGTGTCTTGTGACTGAGATGACTGCAATTTCTAATTTCTACAAAGAAAATTTAGTTACATAGGCTGCTTACTTTTAAATTTAAATGATTATAGAAAATACTTTAATCTAGAGAAAACTTCGGCAATTATCTTCAAAATCCAAAATAGGCCATAATTAAAATATAATATTAAGTTCTTAGCATCTCTGTTAAAATTCCTAGTCATTAAATTATTGACTTTGAAAGCATAGATGATGTAAAATTCCAAAGAACTGAATTTAGGTCAAATATGATGAGATTCCTACAGGGACAATTGCAACCTGAGACAATTCTCAGAGACTCTCCTTGCCCTTCTTTCAGTTTTTTAAATTCCTCTTTGTCTCTTCTTTTTGATTTTCTGTGATCCTTCTCTTTGCCTCTTTTGCCCTACCATTCCTTTTTTCTTTGTAATCCTTCTGTGCTACTTTACATGTGTTTAAAAAATGCACACCAAAAAATGTAGAGTTTGAAGAATTTTGACATATATGTACATTATGTGCCAGAGAACATATGATAAACCTTAAAAGAAAGGAATAAAAAAGGATAATTGAAATTAAAATAAATTTCCTTTCTGTTATACAAATGACAGTGTATCCTAAGTACTTTTGTACATCTTGCACTTCACTTTTTATCATGTATCTTAAAGATCGCCACAGATCATTAAAAAACATCCTTATACTTTTGTACCATAATTTATTTTGTCAGTGCCATATTGATATTTAAATTATTTACACTATTTTATGATTACAAACAATGCTGTCATGAGTAACTTTGTACATAAGTTAGTATACATTTATGTAAGTAAGTTGGATTAATTTCCAGATGTGGAATTGCTGAATTAAAGCAGTGTGTACATTTAGTTTCAACAGGTTATAACAGCTTGCGTTTTCAGCTATGGTACCGTACTACTTTACATTCCTACCAGCACTGTTGGAGGAGTACGCCTCCCCAACACTGTCTTTAACCTTTCTAATCTTTGCTACTCTGATAAGTGAAAATGGAATCCCGGTATAGTTTTTAATGTGCAATTCAATTACTGTAAATAAAACTGAGCATCTTTCCATATGTTTCTGTCATTTCTGTTTGCTTGTCTGTGAACTTTTTTGTTCAGATCTTTTGCCCATTTTTTTCTCCTACTAGCTATTGATCTTAGTGATTTCATGGGTTTTACCCAGTAGAAATAATTGTGTTTTGTTGATCTTGTGAATTGCAAATATTTTTTCATAGGTATTCAAGTGCCTTTTGAGTTTGTTTTTGGTGGATTTGCCGTTCAGGTTTTTTTTTCCCCTATGGTCAAACTTAATGTTTTTCTTGAAAGGCATTTAGACTGAAGGTAATGATTAGAAAGAAAAACTTTCAGGGGCACAGACATTTTACTCTGAACAACTTTACTGAACTTCATAATGGATAGAAGAAAGAACCATGTCTTAGTTACTTTATTGTTGTGGGACAAAATACCCAACACTCAAAGGAGGAAAGGTTTATTTTGGCTCATAGTTTGTAGATGTTTCAGTCCATAATTGGCTGGTTATGGGGCAGGTTGGCATGGCAGAGGGGCATCAGAGAGGAGAAACAGTTCATGGTGGGCAGAAGGTAGCAAAGCAACAAAGTAGTGAAGAACAAGTCCGAGTGACCTTAGCAGCTTCTTTCTGCCCCTTTTATATTCTATCTAGGCTACTGGCCTTTGGGTGAGTGCTGTACCAGTCAGTGGACTGATATAGTAATCTCACACCCATAATCCCAAAATCACACACTCAAGATCCAGCCACTCTGAAAAAGCCCACTTATGACTGCATTAGCTTTGGGGGACATCTGGACATCAGCCATAGTAATCCATATAAGAGCCTAAATTGGGGAAATGAATACTCTAGCAGACTATGAACCTCATAGTATAGCCTTGCTATTCAGTTTGTCATAGATTTTTGAGTACACTTGTATTAGTTAGTGTTCTTGTCCCAAACCACAGAAAAGTACTGGTTAATTTAGGCAAGAAGGGAAGATACTAGGGAATTTACTCAACCTAAGCAAGGATTACAAGAATGTTCAGAAAATAGAACAAGTAGGGGCTGGGGATTTAGCTCAGCGGCAAAGCACCTGCCTGGCAAGCGCAAGGTTGTGAGTTCGATTCCTAGTACTGGAAGAAAAACAACAACAAAAGAAGAAAGTAGAACAAGTCAAGAGAACTCATACCCAAGATCCTGCATGAACCTAGACTTGGTCAGAACTGCTGCTATAAGTTACATCGGTGCCTCTGGAAACTGGATCCCAAAAGCAAAATGCTTTGCCCCCATTTCATTATGTTACCTGTTTCAGATCCATGGTGTTATCTCTCTTGGATTCTGAGTCATAGATAGAAGCTATCCATTGGCCAGGCAGTCATGAAAATTGAAGACAAATGAAATTGAAATCTTAATTTCACCAAAAGCTAGTTGATAGGAAGTTATTGTATTTGGAATTCTTAATTTTTATTTCCTTTTCATGTACAGGTCTCAACTTTGTTAAAGAAGATAACCTGCCCGGAAACAGTTTCATTTTTTGTTCATTCTGAAAACATTAAATACTTGAGTGATGAACTTTAGCTGTGCTTTTTGTCATTAGTGGGTTCAATTCTAATACATGTTGAGATGAGATTATTTTACATCTGTCCATTACATTTTTAGTCTGTTAGAGGAATGGTACTAGTGCATTTAGCAGCTTTATTCAGCATCTGTAGTTTCTACGGAAACAGACAGCATTGACCCAAAGTCTCTGAGCTTTATTTTTCTTCAAATGTGTAGTTATTTTCATAATATAATCCAATTTTATTTCACAGTGGCATATGCATTCTTACCCTAGCAATAAAAATCACAGAATTTGTGGACGAAACCAGGATGGGCTGCAGTCCTCAGCAAATTCATCTTTGATGCATTTAATAAATAGGAACCTAGAAATTAAAAGCAATAGCCCACTTTTACACATTTATTGGTTAAAAAAATACACAGATACTATAGTAAATATGGCACTTGACCTTTAAAAAGACCTGAAGTGTGTTTAGAAGTAGACTTCAAAAGACCTGCAGCTTGAGTTATTATGAAAGGGTAGGAGGGGAGTGTTGATGTGAAGCTGATGTAAGGTTGTAACACCAGATGTGGATACTAAGGTGAACTGAGGTTGCTGGAGGTGTTTTGAAAATGTGCCTGTATGTTTTGTATATGTCTGGGTAACTCATATCAGCTGGATCCAATTTTCTGCCGTTTTCTTGGATGAAAGTCACATACTCCATTGTTCTCTAATGTCAGTTACATTAAGACCATATTTGCATTTTTAAAACAAGCATTATAGGAGAAGTATGTTTGCTAGAACAACTCAAGTATATTTAAGAGAAAATTTAGGACTAAGAAATAATATTTTAACTTATCATTGAAAATTGGCTTTAAATTATTTGTCATTTAAAATTAGCATTTCATATTTGTACTACATGTGTTTTAATGTATTATTACAGATGATATTTCCATTTGAAGGGTTCAGGAGTTGGATGTCCATTAAGGAAATGGAATATTATTGTAATGGGGCTTTCATTGGTTGATTGAGACTACTATTGGAAGTTAAAAGTTTACTTTTATCTGTGTACACATACAATGGGATATCATTTATTCATAAAAAGAAATGCAGTTTTGATTCATGTCATAATGTAGTTGATACTTGAAAATATTTTACTAGGAACAATAAGCCATACTCAAGAGGACAAACTTTGTATTATTTCTCCATATCTGGGGCATATTCTTAGAGACAAGTTACCAGGGGCTAGAAAGACGAGGGAATATGCATTTACTTAGTGGGTACAGTTAGTGTTTGGGTTGAGGAAAATCTCTTAGAAATGGACAATGGTACAGCACTGTCAGTGTAGTTAGTGCTATTAGTTATATGCTTAAAAATGACTAAATGGTAATGTAAGATAGAAAAATCAGTTTTATTTCATCTCTGATATTTTTTCCTAATTACCTACATACTGTGGAATACACATGCTACTGTAAATATTTGTAAAGACTTATTAGAATACACAGAAAATTTATTTTCTCATCAAAATTTAGTGTTGAATTTGGATTTTTCTTACAGTATGTAGCAATTACAGTGAACATTCTGGAATTCTGTCAGTTCCTTTAAGAAAGAATTGTCAGGGCTGGGGATTTAGCTCAGTAGCACAGGGCCTGCCTGGGAAGCGCAAGGTCGTGAGTTTGATTCCTAGTACCGGAAAAAAAACAAAACACAAAGAATTGTCTTCCTTCTGTGGAAGGCAAAAAAACATTCAAGTTTTACCCTGAAATTTCTTCCTCAGTGTTGTAGAAATCCTGAAATGTTTAAGTTCTTCACTGTAATGCATCATTTCTACTGAATTACCAAAAAAAAATGTGAAGTAAATGTCAAATAATTTTAGTAAATTAGCTTTGAGTAAATTAAATTTTAAGTCATAATAACTGAGTAGTGTTACTAAAGTAAGTTGTAGATAATTTTTGTTTTTTCTTTTCAAGAAATTTTCTTAAAGTGTTCAAATGGGGAGGGGAACAAAGAGGGGAAGGGGAAAGGAAAGAAGGGACAAGAAAAAAAGAATAGAAGGAAAAGATGGAAATAAAGCTTTAGTAAATAAGGAGAGGAAGAGTGGTTGAAGGGAGGGGAGAGAATGGGAAACAAGAAACAAGGTACAAATTCTCTGATGAATGTGATCATTATGTATATATCTAAAAGGTACCAATAAAGTAAAAAGTTGAAAAAAATTTTCTTAGTTTTTGCATACGCTGAAGTTATATTTTTATAAATATATATTTCCTAAAATGTTATCCAATTATATTTCAGGTTGCAACAAGGACAATGTCAGAGCAGGCTGTAAAAAATGTGGCTACCGTAAGTATGCAAAAAAGCAACATTCTATACATTGCTCTTACTGGAAACACTGCCTTTTGAGAAATTGCCTTATAATCCTGTTCTTAGAGGTCCTATGTGTAGTCATTTAGGCCTAAGCTACAATATGCAGCTGATTCAGAAATTCTCATAAGCATGAAATATTTCATTTTCTTTTAGGTAAACCCAGTCACAGATAATGTATCTGATGACTAGCATAGATATCACAAAGTAGAAATAGTAGTAGGAAATAAGAGTTTGGAGAAATTATATTTAACTGTGCATGGAGAAAGTGTGTGTGTGTGTTTTATTTCTTGTTTTCCTGGATACTAAATGAAGAGGTCAAGGTGTTCAAAAGTATTTTTGAAGATTTTTTTTTGTTTCTTGAATTTACTTATCCCTTTGTATAAGAGTTTGTATTAGTTACTTTGTCACTAAGACATAATACCTGATACCTACAAAAAGAAAAAGACAAAGATGTCTACTATCACCACTCCTAGTGAGTATAATTGTGGAAACACTAGCCAGAGCAAGTAGACAAGAGAAAGAAATAAAAGGAAGAAGGACAGGAACAGAAAAGTTATCATTATTTGCAAATGACATTATTTGCAAAAAACCCCAAATGCTCCACCAAAATACTTGTAAATTTTATAACCAAATTCAGTTGCATAGTTGGATACAAAGTCAACACTGAAAAATCAGTAGTATTCCTGTATGCAACAACAGGAGAGAGAAATTAGGGAAATCACAGCCTTTATAATAGCATCCAAAAAATGAAATATTTAGGAATCAGTGTAACAAGGGAAGTAAAAGCTCTATACATTGAAAATTATAGTACTCTGAAAAAGTACTATAATCAGGGAGGATATCAGAAAATGGAAAGATATCCCTTGCTCATGGATAGGGAAAACCAACATAGTTAAAATGGCCCTATTCCCCAAACTATTACACAGATTTAATGCAATTCCAATCGTGGTACCATTAGCATACCTCACAGAATTAGAGAAAACATTCCTAAAAGTCATATGGAAACAGAAGGGACATAGAATAGCAAAAGTAATTCTGAGTAACAAAGACAAGTTGGGGCATCACAATCCCTGCCCTGAAATTTTACTACAAAGCTACTGTGATAAAATCAACATGGCAATAGCTAAAAAACAGACCTGAGGATCAGTGGAACAGATTAGAAGATGCAGACACAACTACAAACACACATAGCCACCTTATCTCTGACAAAGGAGCCAAACAAGTTCCCTGGAAAAGAGATAATCTGTGTAATAAACAGTGCTGGAAAAACTGGCTTTCCACATGCTGAAAACTAAAACTAGACCCATGCACTAAAGTCAAAACGGATCAAAGATCTCATGTTAAAACAGAAACACTAAATCTATTGGAAGAGAAAATAGGTAGAAATCTTAAAGACATAGGAGTAGGCAGAGACTTTATGAACAAAACCCAGACCACATGGGAAATACAACAAAGATCAACAAATGGGGTCTCACCTTATTAAAAAGCTTTTGCACATCAAAAGAAATCATCAGCAGAGTGGAAAGACAACCCACAAAGTGGAAATGAAATTATAGCTGGTTGTCCCTCAGATGAAGAACTTGTATCTAGAACATATAAAGGAATGAAAAAAATCAGGCCTCCAGAATTCAAAGACCCAATCCAAAATGGGCATCTGAGATGAATACAAACTTCTCAGATGAAGAAATATAAACAACAAGTAAATACATGAAAAAGTGTTCAACATCACTGGTCATTTGAGAGATACAAATTAAAACAACACTGAGATTGTCTCTCACCCCAGAAAGAATGGCTATCGTCAAGAAATCAATACAAAATGTATTAATTAGTATTACTGTCCTACTAGCCTGTTTTGAAACTCTATGTAATAAATACAAAATGTATTAATTAGTATTACTCTCCTACTAGCCTGTTTTGAAACTCTGTTTTATTAACATTTTTATTTTTTTCCTCTTTTAAAAAAAAGTTACTTCTCTATAGTGGTTAGAGATGAAGGTCTTCTCCATTTACATGTCTTTGTGATAGAAACTACTTTTAAGAATTAGTTTATCTTTTATAAAGGGGCTAGAATCTTCGTATTATTTGTATTGAGAGAAGAGAAAGGCAGATATGACCATTTAAAATGGTTTTAATGCCCCAAAATATGGGTAATCTTCAGTTAATTACAAGAGTATTGTCTCTCTTTCGTTATGCAAGTAGTGCTATAAATTGTACATGTTCAAGAATTTTAATGCTTGATTGAAAAACATTTTATTGTCTGGCGTTTGTTTTGTTTGGTTTTTTGGTTTTTTTGACACAGGGTCTCACTATGTAGTGCAAGCTGGCCTTGAACTCACTGTGATCCTTCTGCCTCAGCCTCCCAAGTGCTGGGATTACAGTGAGTGCCACCATGTCTGGCTTTGTCTATATATTTTAATACTGTGTATATTATAAAAAGTTTCATGTTAAAGATAAATGTATTATTAAGTAACACAGATCTAGTAACACAGATCTCTCTTTTTCACAACAGAATTTCCTCCACAACATACTTCATAAAAGAAATTTATAGAAAAGGATTATGTCTATAGAGAGTTTATTAGAATTTTTCTGAAGTTGGCAACTTACAAAAATACTTAAGAACTACAAGAACACTTTTTCTATAGATTGTCTCAGGTAATTATGATAGTTCTCAGAAAAATCTGATTAAAAAGTTCAGTACTGTATACTCAGTGGTTGAACTTTTGATCCCAGCAGCAAGAAATTAGATACTTAAATACCTTCAAGATTTTATTTAACTTCCAAATGCTAACTATTGACACGGAGTCCTTACCTTTTCTTTGCCTGTGGGTCTGCTTATTGGTGCTACCTGGTGTGTGTGTGTCTGTGTGTCTGTGTGTCTGTGTCTGTGTATGTCTGTGTGTGTACCCGACCCATATTCAAATACATTTTCTACTTTTTATAACTTGTTTCTTCAGAGACAAATTTAGCTACTTATGAAGAAACCTGAGTGCAGAATTCTGCCGCTACTTCTACAGCAGAAATCTGTGGAGGTAGTTTTTGTTTGACAGTCATGAGGGGTGGGAGCATGAGGGTGGAGCACTGTCACACTTAGCGTGTGGAGCTCAGTGATTATAAGCACCTTACAACATGCTGAGCGTGTCCTGTACTAGGGGAGAATTTTTGGGCCCAAAATGCCAATGACACCCTCTTTGAGAAAATACCCTTTTCTCATTGATTTAGAGTTGTGCCCTATCTGTATAGTTTTCTTGTCAATGCCTAATTTGACAACTGCTTTATAAAAATAGTTCATTGAAATCAAGTCTTTCCATAAGTATTGCTTTTGTTACATAAAAACCATCATTTTTCTATATTATTTTATTGCTCTAAATGATATTTAATTGAACAAATTTTAGAATAATCAGCAGCAGACCCTTGATAAGTAAAATATCAACTGCAGTGAGCTGAGGGAAAAGTGACTCAAAGATCTATTCAGGAAAAGCTTAAATGTGCAGCATCATATAAGCCACAGAAGCAAAGATTTTCAAAATGGAAGGGAAAGTGTCAGATACAGTTTGTAAGAAATGAGCTGAAAAATGTTTATTGGGTTTGGTAAGTAGGATGCTTTTCTAAGTAAGTTCAGTGTCAGTAGAATTATAAGTCTTGAAACAAACTGTAGATTCTGACCTAATAAGCAGGGTAAAGTAGAAAAAGTCAATATAGTCTCCATTTTAAAGAAATTTACATGAGAATGGTAGGAAACGTATTTAGTAATACTTACAATAGAATGTGGGGTCAATGTATGACTTTATTTTTAAGCTATAAGATATTTATATAGATGGAGAGGACACTGAAAGACATAATTATAAATACCAGACACAGGAGAAGATTAAGCATGTTTCTCTAAGAGAAATGACAAGGATCCCTCTCGAGCTTGAGGAAAACTAATAGGTATAGATATTGTTAGGTGTAGAGTCAAAATAGAAGAGATATTGCCTGGTAATATAAGTTTGATTTCTAAATTAAGAGACAGATTGTCTCTTTAGTGAGAGGCCTGGTGGTAAGGTGTGAGAAAGCTACAGTGTTAAAAGATAGAAATATTGGGCTAAAAATTGCAGATGCAGGAGTGGCAGGGGATGATAGCATGGCTGTGGAATCCAGAACATCACAGAAGAACCATCCAACAATCTCGGCTGTCCATCCAAGCTTATGTCAGGGATTCGGTAAAAAGGTTCAAAGATATCAGTGAATGAGGCCGCTCCACTGCGGGGGCGGCTGAGTGGAGAGTCACGGACTGCAATTGGAAAACAGTGTTGAGAAGCCTGGAAGATGCAGGTAGTAGTACCAAGGTAAAAGGTCATTAACCATAGAGAAATATCATCCTGGAAGAGCCAGATTTCTCTTAAATAATTCTTAGGAGGAAGCATTCTGCCAGTAGGTGGGACAGTTTGTCTACCAGGATTGAATGTTTCAGAAGCTATGGTAAAAGGACTGGGAGAGAAAGTTAATGATCAGCTAGGTCAATGCCTTAGTTACTTTCTCCTTGTGGGGGCTCAGTACCCACACCAACAAATTAAAGGAGGAGACATTTATTTTGGCTCACAGTTTAGAAGTTTCAGTCCTTGCATAGTTGGTGGCATTGTGGAAAGGTGTGGCACAGGGGAAAGCTGCTCATATCACTTAGTATCTAGGAAGCAGAGAAAAAAGGGAGAAGCAGGGAGGGAAATACGCCCCTCCAAGTCAGTTCACCAGTAACTGTATCTCTGACCAAACCCCATTTCCTAGGAGGAAATCAACTGTACTGCCCCCAACTGTAATCAAGTCACCTTTCAGAAGCCTTACTTATGAGCACATGAAGCTTTGTGGGGACATCTGGATATAAACCATAACATATGCTGATCTCCTTTTGTGTCTGACTTAGCATAACATTTTTAAGGCTCATCCAGGTTGTGGCATGTGTTGTAACATTTTTTGTAGTTGAATAATATTTAATTAGATGGATACACTATATTTTGTTTATCCATTCAGCTCTTGATGGATATTTGGTTGTTTCTACCTTTTACTGTTATGAATAATATTGCAGTGAACACTGATGTAGAGCAACTACTTGAATTCCTGTTTTCAGTTCTTTTAGTTATATACCTAAGAGTGGAATTGTTGGTCATCTATTAGTTTTTTGAAGAACTGTTTTCTGCAGTAGCTCATTCTCACTATAATGTAAAATATACTAAAAATTTACTCCAATTTCTCCACATCCTCACCAACATCTGTTATCTTCTATTTTTAAAAAATTCCATCTATGATAATAAAAATATGTATTTAATAATTGTCCCTGATTCCACATAATTTCTAAAACCCTTTGAATTTCCTGAGTGTTAGGGTTAATAAGAGTCTTTTGTTATTCATAGCAAACCCCTTTCAACCAAACCTGAGTTTATAGTAGTAAGATGACTCCTAGTGAACCTCTAGTTAGCTTCAAGGTGGGTGCTAGGTGCCAAAGGAACCAACCATGTGATTATCAGGTTAGAACTTTCAGCTCTGCCTCCAGACTTCTGGGTATAGGAGAGGGACAAGGGGCTGGAGATTGACTTCAGTCACTGATGGTCAGCCATTCTTTCAATTATGCTATGTAATGGAACCACCATTTAAACCCCCAAACTAGTTTGGTGTGTGGCACATACCGTTAATTCTAGCGGCTCAGAAGGCTAAGGTAAGAGGGTCACGAGATCAAGGCCATGCTGGGTACCTTAGCAAGACTTTATCTCAGAATGAGAAATGACTGTGTTTATAGCTCACTGTGAAGGCCCTGAGTTCAGGCCTCAGTACCACAAAGCCAAACAAAACCCATGAACGACCAGGTTTGAGAATGCCTGGGTTAGTGAACACACTGAGGTGCTAAGAGCATGGCACACCCAGAGAGTATGAACACCGCCCCACCCATTTTTGCTCAAGGCGTCTCTTCCATTTGGCTGTTTCAGAGTTCTTTACATTGTAACATACTGTTTAATTGTAACAAATTGTTAAACTATAAACTTCACATTATAACAAACTGTTAATAGTAATAAGCTATTTTCCTCATGTTTTGTGAGTTATTTTAGCAAATTACCAAACTTGGGGACAAGATTGTGGGAACACCTTGACTATAGCTGACCAGTCAGAAATATGGGTGGCACATGAAATAGGGGAATTCTATGGGACTGCACCCTTAACCGGTGGGGTCTGTGTCAACTCCAGGTATCAGAAATGAATATAATTGTAGGATTTCCAGGTAGTATCCATAGAGTTGGAGAATTGGTTGTGGGTATGAAAAAAGCTCATACATTTGGTGTCAGATGTAGTGAGGAGATTTGAGACCACCGTTCACCTCATGGCAGTCAGGAAGCAGAGACAGAGAGAACCCAAGAGGAGCAGGGAGCAGATACAGTCCGTGAGGGCAGGCCCCCTGACCTCACTCTGTTCAACTAGGTCGGTCATGATCAAGAAACTTGAAAAGCTAACATCCTAGAGAAAATCTGATGTGTACACACAAAAAAAATTAGCAAAATATCGTAAGTCCTAAGTTTCTGTCAATAGTAAGTTAAATAGCACTGGGGATTTAGCTCAGTGGCGCAGCACCTAGCTGGCAAGCGCAAGGTCCTGAGTTCAATTCCCGGTACCAAAAAAAAAGTCGGTTAAATAAATGAATATGAATATATTTTTTACACAGTGGAACTTTATTCATTAGGTAAAATGAAAAAATTACACCTACTTATGTCAACATAGATAAGTCAAAACATTGAATGACAAAAACAAGTTACAGAATGATAGGTGTAACTGCACTTATTTTTTTAAATATATAATAATACAACATTTTGTGTGGGAATGAGAGACACCAATGTCAGTATAGTGACTTTAGGAGACAAAAAACAGAATGGAATTGACACAGTTTCAGAAGGCAGTATAAGTTCTATGACTTTGGATATGGACATAAGTATACATGTGTATTTTCTTTAAAATAATTAAGTGAGTATGATGACGTGTGGGTGATATAGGTATGTAGGTACTGATTATATATACTTACACTCATGTTTTTAATATTAGATTTTTGTTAAAAGAAAGTTATGTGCAATAAGTAGGCAACTACTATAGGTTTCTTACAGGGACAATCTTTAGGAAAGTGAAATCAACTTAAAGTTTTACATATCCTTTAGGAAAGCATGTCCGGTATATGAATGCCCATATATTAGTATAGCAGTTTTAATTAGATGGAAGCTGTGTAACTGCTTGAATAAAATAATCTGAGAAGGAAAAGGTATGGGAAGGGAATAAAATAAAATATCAAGTATAATTTTTTTTGTACTTGGTTTATCTACTTTTAGATAGTGTATTTTTAGAAAGGAAAAAGATAGTAATTCCATATTTAAAACCTATAAAAAATAACCCCTAAAATGCCTGTTGAATTAGAAATTCCAATGAAGAAAGAAAACATTTTCTTGTATTGTATTCAGAGAAAATAACCAAAATATCACCAGCTGAAAAAGAGTTAAAGGTTTTCTATATTATTGAAAATATAATGTGTTGCTTACCATGAAATAACAAAGTAAAAAATGTACATTATATCTATAGCTTTATTATTATGTCTCTGTTTTACTTAGCTGGTCATCTGACTTTTGAATGCCGCAATTTTCTCCGAGTAGATCCCAAACGGGATATAGTTTTGGATGTCAGCAGTACAAGCAGTGAAGACAGTGATGAAGAGAATGAAGAACTAAATAAATTGCAGGCATTACAGGAAAAAAGTAAGCAATACTTTTCTTCTTCCATTCTTTAAAAATGTTTCTTAAATGTTTTACTGTGTTATATCATGCTTGTATATCATACTTATCATTAAGGTAGCCTTTCTATTTTATGTAAGGATTACTGCATAAGTTAGAAAATGGGCTTTTGCATTATAAGCAATTTGCCTAAGAATAAACACTGATCAGAGATACAGACAGGAAGGAAGTCTCTTTCTGACTCCACAGGCCATATTTTACTTTTTTGTTTTTTTTTTCCCTTTACACTAGGAAATGTCACATGGTTTTTAGAATCTGATTTAAGACTTGGTTTCTAGTCCCATTTGATCATTTTTCTATTATATAACTTTCAGTAAGTCTGTTAACCTCTCAGAGGTCTTAGCTGGTATCAAGCTGTACAAATTATTTTTAGTATATAAATAACCATGAAGCTTAGGCAAAGCTCCATGCTTTAACAGTGTGGAATGCTAAAAAGTAATCTAATATGCACTCTGAAACCCCCTAACTATGTGATAATCAGTATTCATGATTATCTCTCTAAGTGGGGTTGAGTGTAAGGCTAACAGCAGGAAGATTAGACTCAAAGACTTAGATCCTCAATTTCCTTTTCCTACTCCCTGAAACCAAATGGCTTCCTTCATCACTCCAGTTGACTACTGAAAGTTTTATTTTCTAAACAGGATTTTAAAAAAGGTCTTTAGAACACAGCATGCACAGCTGAAAACAAGGAATAAGCTAAGTGTCAGGTACAGACTGCTGACAGCTTTCCGGTCCTCTTCATCTATTTGGGTCCTAGGCATTTCTCACTCAAGCAGAAGATTAGCAGATTCTTCTCTGACCAATTTAAGAGAGACCTTAAGAATCTGACAGCAGAAATTCCTCAACAACATGTTCTAGCCAGATTACCAGAGAAGTCCAATGTTTCAGGTAACATTTGCTTGGAACTTCTAGTCAGCTTTTAGGCAGTCATGATCAACAGATTTTAAGAAAATAGTCTCATGTGAAAGATGGGCATGCATCATTAACAAAAGTGACACATTTGAGAAATGGGTCTTTAGGCAATTTTGTCATTCGGCAAACACGTGGGATTTAGACTTAACATAGACCTAGATAGTCTGTCCTATGGCACACCTAGGCTATATGGTATAAAGTATCATACATGCAGTCTGTCATTGAGCAGAATGTCATTATTTGGCCTATGACAATACATATACCAAAGCAAACACACACACTGCACGCACAATCCACTTGAAGGATATAGACTTTGTATGTTGAAGAAAATACAGTGAAAATCACTCAGGAATCATGAGTATGGTACTATAAAAATGACTCCAAAAAAAGAACATTTGGAAATTTAACATGACAGAAAAAAGTTGAGGTAGAATTGGAAAATAAAATTTGAAATCTAAGAACAAAAAACAGAGGGTGAAGGGAAGAAAGTAAAATTGAAGTAGCAGTCAAGGAAGTACTTCACTGAACTGAGTTCCAGAAGAAGAATCAGTTTTCAGATTGACAGTGTTTTACAAGTACCAAATACCTCGTACAGTGATAAAAATACACCTGCACTGTCATGGAATTAAACAGGCCATCAATGAAGGATCAGGAGTCAGAATAGTTTTAGATTTCTCTGAAGCAGAGCTAGAAGGTAATAGATGTAGATAATGCCTTCAAATTTTTTTCAAAGAAAATAATATTCAAATTAGGATGATTATTCCCAACCAAATCATTAACTGGGTATGAAAGTAAAATAAATACATTTTCACATATTCCAAAGCTTCAAGGACAATGTACTTCTTACATATTCTATCTTGGAAAACCTATGGAATTAAATACACAACATGTATAAAATAAGGTTTTTTTTTTTTTTAAATTTTTTATTTTAAAGATAAAAGGAGGGAAACATTAACAGACATACAACATTTTACAACATATCACAAGCACAATACAGACAATACAGAGTTACAAACAAAGTGGTAGGGAATTAACAATGGTGGTTGTATTACATATTGATATCTTCAAAGTGGCTTCTCATGAAAACAGATATAAACATGCAATACTGGTCAACCAAAGACTCTTTGACAGTTTCTTTCAGCATAGAAATAGAAGGCAGAAGAACAACCATGTTATCTATCCTGTATATACATACATACAAAATTTCTCCTTCGTTCCCTTCTCTTTTCCCCACATCCCAGAAGCCCTTTACTCTTCAGCGGTTTCCTATCATTTCACAGTGTCTATCATACCTCCGAGTTTAAATTAACTCTTTCAAGTTTTACACTAGTGACACAATGTGGTGCTTGCACATGTATGTTTGATTTATTTCACTTATGAGTATGGTTTCTAGTTGTGACCATTTAAATATAAAGGCCTCGAGTTTATCTTTCTTTACAGCTGAGTAATATTCCATTATATAAAAGTACCATAATTTTCTTATCCAATCCTCGGTGGATGGACATTTGGGTTGCTTCCACATTTTAGCAATTACAAATTGTGCTGCTATGAACATAGGTGCACATATATCACTGTGATATGATGTTTTTAGGTCTTCTGGGAAAATACCCAGCAGGGGGATAGCTGGGTTGAATGGGACCTCTAAACCTAGTTTTTGGAGGAATCTCCAAACTGATTTCCACAGTGGTTTCACCAGTCTGCATTCCCACCAGCAGTGGAGAAGGGTTCCTATTTCTCCACAGCCTCGCCAGCATTTGTTATTGGTTGATTTCTTAATGCTAGCCATTCTTACTGGGGTAAGGTGGAATCTTAGTGTTGTTTTAATTTGCATTTCTCGAATGACTAATGATAAAATAAGGTTTATAGTAAAGAAGTCGACCAAGAGAAAGAGACATGAAATATGGAAAATAGGAGAAATAAAAAGGAGATTTCCAGAATACTGTCTTGAATCTATAGATTGCTTTGGGTAGGATGAGCCTTTTAAAAAGATTACTTTTTCCAGTACATGAACACAAAATATCTCATTTTTGTGTGTTTGCTTTAATTTTTCATCTGTATTTTATAGTTTCACAGTAGAAGTCTTTCACCTCATTAGTTAAATTTATTCCTAAGTTTTTGGGGTGTTTTTGGTTTTGATGCTATCCCAGAAGGAATTGTTTCCTTAATTCCCCTTTGGATAATTCATTGGTCATCCAGAGAAATATGACTTATTTTTGTACCTTGATTTGGTACCCCTAGATATCTGCTGAATTCATTTATGAGTTTTTTCTGAGTTATCAGTTTTTGATATATAAGATTGTATCGTCTATAATCAGAGACACTTTTTCTTTTTCTTTTCCAATTTAGAGGCCTTTATTTCTTTTTCTTATTTAATTGTTCTGGCTGGTACTTTCAGTACCATGTTAAATAAAAGTGACAAGAGAGAATAACTTTCTCTTGTTTCTGTTTTTGAGCAAACTTCAAATTTTACCAGTGATATAATATTAGCTGTGTGCCCAGTGTGCCTCTTATATATGCCCTTTATCACTGTACATTCCTTCTATCACTAATTTGTGAAATGTTTTTCATCATGAAGGGGTAGTGGATTTTGGTAAATGTTTTTCTGCATCTATTGAGATAATGATTTGTGTCCTTCATTCTGTTAATATGATATATTACATTTATGATTTGGATAAATTCAAACATCCTTGTGTCCAAGGCATAAATCCCTCTTGATCATAGTGTATGATCCTTTAAAATGTCTTGTTGAATTCAGTTTATTATAATTTTTTGAAAATTGTGGCATATACATTCATCAGGTATACTGGTGTATAATTTTGTCTGGCTTGGTATCAGGGTAATGCTGGCCTGGGAAAATGAGTTTTGAAATGTTCCCTCTTCTTAAATCAGTCATAGTAGGTTGTATGTTTATAGAAATGTATGCATTTTTCTCCAGGTTATTCACTTTATTGGCATATAAATGCCATGACTCTTGGTATTTCTGTAACATAAACTCTTTCATTCTTTGTTTTTTCTTTTTTTTCTTAATCTACCTAAAGATCTGTCAATTTTGTTTAGCTTTTGAAAAACATTCATTTCTTTTGATCTTTTCTGTTGTAATTCTCTATCTGTTGTAAATATCTATCCTAATTTTTTATTTCCTGTCTTCTGCTAACTTTGAACTTACTTTGTCCTTTTTTTAATTTCTCAATATATAAAGTTTAGTTGTGAGACTTTTAGGGGAGAGGACAAGTTCTCACTAAGTTGCTCCAGCTGGGCTCTAACTTGTGATTCTCCTGCCTTAACTTCTCACATAACTGAAATTACAGGCATGTACTATGCCCAACTAGAGATCATTCTTCTTTTTTAGAGTATTCAGTTGTCACTGTATATCTCTGTAATACTGCTTTTCCTGAATCCCATTGTGGCATGTTGTTTTTTCATTTTTTTTTAAAGTTTGTTTTGTTTTAGTTTGGTTTTTTACTTTTGTCTTTGACCTATTTTTATAGGCCAGGAGTCTGTTTGATTTTCACATATTAGTGAATTTTCCATTTTCATCGTGATACTGATTTCCAGTTTCATACCACTGTGATTAGAAAGAACATTCCATATGATTTCAGTTTTTTGAATTTTCTTGTCTAAGATATGACCTATTCTGGGAAAATGTTATATGTTCTTGAGAAAAATATGTTTTCTATTTTTGAGTTGAATATTCGGTATGTATCTCTTAGGCCTATAATATTATTCAAGTCTACCATTTTCTTATTGATTTTCTGCCCATACCTTTGGTTGGTGCTGTGGATCAAACCCAGGGCCAGTGCATGCCAATCGTGTGCTCTATCACTCAGACACACCCCTCCTCAGTCTATCTCACTGATTTTCTCTGTGGAAGATCTATCTGTCTATCCATTGTGGAGAGTAGGACATTGAAGTCCTTTACTATTACTGTATTGCTATTTCTCCCTTTAGTTCTACTAATAATTGCTTTTTGTATTTAGATGCTCTGATTTAGTATGCATGTATATTTATAATTTTTTTACATTTCTTTTATTTTAAAGAGAAAAGAACAAAAA